GCAATTTCCAATTGAAGCCGTTACTACCATATCTATCAGCAAAAAAATTCTTCAGAAAACAGGTGTCTGTTTAATACTGCTAGAAACCATTGTAAAAAGGATTTGTCTAACGCCAAAGCCCAATATTCTCAGGTCATATCAATAATAAGGTCAAATCTGTTATTCCACCTCTCTTGTATGGTTCAGACTTTGCCACCTTACCTAAAGACAAAGCTGAGTTGTTTGCTAAGATCTTTTCATCAGTATATCTCGTGATTCAACTAGTTGCGTTCTATCTGATTTAGCCGTCAAACAGATTTATTTGCATCTAAAGTGGTTTCCAGCTCAGACTATTCGACAGCTTGTGGTCCGGACAATATACCTGTTATAGTCTTGCAGAAGTGTTCTCTGGAGCTGTCAGCTACACTTTCAAAACTATTTAACAAGTGTTTATCAGAGTCTTGTTTTTCGACCTGCTGGAAAGCGGCATCTGTTATTCCTGTTTTCAAATATTCTGAAGAGCAATCTGATTCGTCTAACTACAGTCCCATAAGTCTTCTTCCTATCATAAGCAAAGTTTTTGAATTTTTAATTAACAAACACTTAATCTTTTTTATTGAATCTAATAACTTATTTTCTGATCATCAATATGGATTTCAATCTTCTCGTTCTACGGCTGATTTGCTAACAGTAATAACCGATAGGTTTTATCGTGCATTAGAAAAAGGGGAGAGGTTAAGGCTATCGCTCTTCACATTTCTAAAGTATTTGATAAAGTTAGGCATGCTGTTCTTCTCCATAAGCTTTCTTCTTACGGTGTATCTGGAAATATATAAAATTATTGAATCCTTTTCTTACAATTGCAGTATAAAAGTTGTCCTCGATGGAAACCTTTGGAAACTGCTTCCTTCATCTTTGGAAGCTTCCTTCATCTTTGGAAGCTTCCTTCATCTTTGGAAGCTTCCTTCATCTTTGGAAACTTCCTTCATCTTGATTTCCTGATTTATATAATTTGCAGTCTTTTAAGTCATTTGTCAATCGTTATCTTGCTCTACAAACTTTTATCTTCCAGTAACTTTCAACTCTAATAGTGGTTGCTCGCAGCCTTGTTGGAAGCAAAGATGTTAAAAAAAAAAGATTTATTTACCAAATTTTGCTTTTATTGTTATGACCTGTAGGGGCTCTATCAAAAGATTAGGTTAATATTTTGCCATTCATATCTTCCTATAGTACTTGTCTGTTAATTACTTATATATATTTGTAATTTGTTTTTTTTTTTTGTGAAAAGAAACTGTAGTTTATTTAAACAGCAAAATAAAAAAAATTATTTTTATATAAAAATAATCTACCACTTTAATTCACCTTTTTTAAGGTAGAAAGTGTTGCGACTGGTATTTCTTCTTGTTTCATGCTTTTATGTTTCTTCTTGAACAGAAACGTAAAAAAATATCAAGTTTTATTATTTTAAAGATTTTAAACAAAGTTTTTTAGGTGAATCGCTATAAGACTTTTGACTGCTTTAACTTATATGAAAAAATTTTTTTGAAGAACTTATGGTAGTTTACTTTGTTTTTTCTAAAGATATTGATTGTTTTCTTTCTAAATTTGGTCACTATTATGTACAATCGATTTAATTTTTTATGATGTGAGCACTGAACTTTAAGTTGCTTTGTATTTTTTAAATCGAATTTATCTGGTTATAACTGAAGATTAATAAACAAAGTTAGAGTAAATTTGTACACACTAATTTTGTGCTGTTTTCTAATTAAAACAAAATTTAATTTTTTGCAAAAACAAAGTAGTATTGTATTATAAAAAGTGGCCTAAAAATTGTGTTTTAATGATAACTTTAGTTGTTAACGAAACATTAGATTCTAGTTTTCATGTTCAAATTAGTTCTAGTTTTCAGGTTGTTATTTTTTACCTAAATAATGTCTATTTTTTAAGCTTATTTGAAGTACTCATAACATTAGGTGGTCTGAGCACTTGTATTTCTTTTCTAAAACCTCTGTTTGGTAAAACCTCTGTTTGGTAAAACCTCTGTTTGGTAAAACCTCTGTTTGGTAAAACCTCTGTTTGATAAAACCTCTGTTTGGTAAAACTACAGTTAAGATGCCTAAAATAATGTCAAAAATTTTTTTATGTTTAAAAAGTCTACACTGACAAGAGCGTTATAAGCAAAAAAATATAGTTATATTAGGTCGCTTAAATTTACAAACTGTGTTTTTAATGAAAAATAAAAGTGGAGTAGTAATCTCTTAAAATTTTTTATTCTCAAAAAAGTTTCGATCATGCATAACTTTGAAATTATTCCAGTTTTTGCTTAAGTTACTTAAAATACCCTAATCTACCCTACATGTTCAAAAAAATATGCCTTAAAATCTGATCTTGTACAATATATATGTGACATTGTGTAAAAAAATTGTGTAAGAAAAATTTTATAGCGGTTCTATATTTTATAATAACAGAAAAAAAGCTTGATTGAAGTTTTAATTAGTAAGAGTTTTACACAAGTTCATAATTTTTATCTAACCCAAAATTAGTTAATAACTCCTTTTGGTTTATTTTATATGTAGCAACTTGTTCTGAAAGGTTCGTGTTTCGTAGTTAAAGAGTTCAGAGAGTGTTGTAACCACTATAAAGTAGACTCCTCAACTGAAGTGACCTTCTCGAGGTGAATAACATAAAAAACAAACAAAAAAAACAACCAATTTATCAAAATTATATATATGTGTCTTATGGATAAAAAAACAATGCATTATGAATGGAAAAACAAACACATTATGAATGGAAAAACAAAACTGATATTCGACAATAGTCGTAATCAGTTTTGTTTTTACAAAAAACCTCAAAAATTTTGGCGGATGGATGATGGCTAAAAGAAAAAAAAGTTTTAATCTAAATATTCTTATTGCAAAATCACTGCTAAAAAAATTAAATGCGCAGAATAGAAATTAAATTTATTAACAATCCGCAATCCTCCACTTCGATAAATTTATTCACAACCCACAATCCTCCACTTTAATAAATCTATTCACAACCCACAATCCTCCACTTTAATAAATCTATTCACAACCTACAATCCTCCACTTCAATAAACGATTTACTTTAACTACTTGTTTGATAGTAAAAAACACTCTTACATATCCGATAATATTGCTGACACAGCAAAAACTGAGCTATAAATAATCATTACCAAACGTTCAAATAAATACTCAACACTCTGTACCGTCTGTTATTAAGCCACGACTAGGAAGTACTACTTATATGCTGAGTCAGTGAGGTGACCTATTGGTCGAAATTCGGAAATCCTATCTATCTAAAGTTTCTAATTTTTAAAAACAATTAGCAAAAAACTTTTGCAAGTCGACAAAATGTTTGCTTAGTTTTTGAGTTCATTTAAAACGAATACAGAATTGTGAAAAAAAATAATATAAAAAAAAAATAACAAAAAATTCCTTAAAAGCATAAAGCTTGTATGCCAATATTAGGGAAAAGTTGCATAAGTTGAGCATGTTAGCAATGAATTATTTTTTGCATTTTTCGAGAATAAGTCTTACCTCTGATCTTGTTCTGACGTAACTATTGTGTTTAAGGATCGTAAATTTTTTTTAACAATAAAACAATGAAAGTATATGAACTATACAACCAAATAGTTAAAATAAAAAACACCGTCGAAGTTGTATGAACTTAAAAAAATTGCAACTATACTTAACCAAAAAAAATCGCAAAAAAATACTATTTCACTAGCCATTCCGTAAAAGAGGTTAAACCATCTTAGGAACCTGCTCGTCTTATGCAACTTTTTCCAAATAGAAATATTCTACAACAGCTAATTGTAATTAAAGCGCTTTTCAAGAAATAGCCCTCAGACGACTATTAGTTTAAACAATCTGTAAAATTTTCGTAAAATATCTGGTCTGCAAGATAAACGATTGGACTGTTTAAAGAGTAAACGCCAATCTTGCTGTGAACTACAAGTAATCTTTTACAACTTAATGTAATATGCTTATCAAGATGTTCTGTTATATAATTTAATATAATGTAATTTTGTGGAATCCTAATTTTAATATAATGTAATTTTGTGGAATCCTAATTTTAGCTTTATTTCCAGATCTGTAGAATCTCAAGTTATTTAATGCTATTTTAAATGAGAACTTGCTCGGTGCTGAAATTACTTTAACTATTGCAAAGACAATAAAAAAATTGAGTATTTATCAAGAATTATTAATGACATAGATTTTCTTAATTACTTTTACTTATTAAGTGAAAAGCATTTTTACTTTGAGTAAAATAAAAAAAAAAAAGGTTTTTAAATAATTTATGGGTTTAAACTTCGATCATACCAACTTAGCTAAACATTCAGTTTAACTCAGTTTATATAGTTGAAGTTTAAACCCATAAATTACTTAAAAAACATTTTTTTTATATTTCACTCAAAGTTAAAATGTTTTTCACTTGATAAACAGTTTAAATGGTCAAATGGTTTAAAATTATTGTAAAGGCTTTAGCTCTTTTGATCTATGATCGTGTCCAAACTAAAAACGGTTTTTTAATTTTATTTAAAACAGTTTGAATCAAATCGATTTAACCTACCCTAAACAAACAAACAAACAAAAATTTAAAGAATTTTTTCAATACACAAGCAGAAGTAGTTGTATTAAACAAATATAAATTTTCAAGTATTTCATTACATTTAAAACATAATTTATAAGTTGTCAAAGTTAAGATTTTTGTAAAAAAATTTCGATTTAAATTTTTCTAACTTGCCATAACTATGTTGAGAGTTGTGCAATTTTGTTTTACAACAAGTGCGGCAGAAATTGATTTGTTTATATTTCCGCAACCTTTATCGTCTTACAAAATTTTTTTGAATGTATAGGAATGTCGTACATTTTATTAGAACAGGAATGTCGTACAACAGTTAATGAGCAACTGTTGTACGACAAACTTGCAACAATTAAAAACCAAGCTTATGTTACAAAACAGCTTTTAAAATACTTTTCTGTTCCGATAAATTTAAGTAATCCGCTTTCATTTTAAGACAATAAACAAACATGGTAACCTGCAAAAATAATTAGACTTATGACGAAAAATAATTTAGTAGCGTTATTTCAATATAGAGGATTTTTATCAAATGCATATTGTTCCTCATTTAAAAAAATTAAGCTGGTCTCCAAGGTTTCAAAAATGAATTATTCGTCAGGTATAGTATTTTAACGTGTAGGTAGAGTTAATTATTTCTATAACTTATAGAAATAATAATAACTTATAATATAAGTACCTTATAGTATAAGTAAAGAAAAGGTATTTGCTTTTACTTTACTGCAGAAGTTATATTTTGAGAACCAAGTATTTTTATTAATAGTATTTATTCTTTAGACGATTATATATTAAATTGAGACTTCATTTTAAAAATATTTGAACAATTACTTTTTAGTAATTATCAAAATGAGAATTTTTTTTTTTTTTTTTTTTTGCAGGTGGCAGTGATAACTCCCGTTTTATCTCTTTATTTAATAATATTAACGTAATTGCAACCGATAACGCAGATTTCTTTTGTGGAAAAACAAGTAATCGAAATGTAGAATTTTGTGAATCTTTTGACAGAATTCTCAATGTCTTGAATCCTCTACAAATATCTTTAGAAGTTATTACACGTTCTTGTGATAAATTTGATATTAGTCCTTCTTGCAAAGGTACCATTTTTTATAATCTATTGCATATTTTTTTTTATTTCACCAAATCTATGTTAATGTTACTTTGTCCTAGGGAATGGGTACCGAAGTATTGCAAATGTTGTGGAGTCATGTTTAAGTAAAGTGTTAGAGCTAAATGAACAAATAAAAAATGAACGTGAAAAGTTTTTTTTCCGCTCATACCACACATATATGGAACTTAATTCATACTCTCAAGTATTAATGCGTCTTTTGTCAATTGTTCAATTTGCTATTATTCTATTAGAAGAAAGTAATTCTGGTTGCTTATTTCCAAAAGAAGAAAAAATTGATGAAAATGTAATGGCTGATTTTGAGAAAATAAATCGTGAATGCTTTTATGGACGAAGTTTTGGGTTTCAGGTTTGTAATTTTTGCTGCAAATACGCATATTTTTACAAGGTATTTATATGGTTAATGAAAATTTTTAGAATAATGTCATATTTTTACAACATTAAATAGCATTAAAAATTTTAAACTATGCATCAAATAATAAAAAACAAATAAGTTTTTAGTTTTGCACAAAAAATAAATATGGTAAATATTTAAAAAATGCACAAATAAATAAATATGGTAAAGTTTATTTAATGAAAAACTATTGTCACAAAATTCAGCTGTTAACCCTGTTTGTTTGTTTTTGTTTTACTTAAAAGTTCTTTGAAATACTTGTTAAAGTATTTGTATCTATATTTTAATTTTGTAAAAAATTGTAAGAAATAAAAAAAAAAGTAAATAATTTTAAAAAATGTAGCAGTATTTTAATAAATTGCCTTTAAAAATTTGTGAAAGTATCCAGGCTGATCCCAAAATAATATCAAATAAATAATAACAATTGAATAAGAATGTTAACTTATTTAAATTAAATGCTTTAAAAGAACTAAAAATATATTAAAATTAAACTATAAATAATTGATAAAAAAGGCTTTCTGCTTAAAATTTTTTAGTATTATTTAGTATTAAAATTTATATATGAGTGCTGCTACATCAACTGACAAATAGCCTGACTTGCAAGGGAGTGCTGCTACATCAACTGACAAATAGCCTGACTCGCATGGAATTACTGATACATCGACTGAGGGTTTGGTTTGGGCAGGCAGTCTATCATTTAAAAAAAAAAAAAAAATTATGAAGTTTTTTAACATTTTCTGGTCAGGCTTATTAACGCGCTCTTTAAAACAATAGTTTATGGGAAAAACTTTCTGGCTAACATGCAAAACTTTCCGAAATGCTGTATTTTGTTAGTCATTACTTTAAAAATTTTTTTTATTTAAATGTTTAAATGATATAATTTAGTTTATATCATGCTAACATCTTTGCTGAATAAAAATTTATTCATTTTTACAAATGTACGATATAGGTGGATGAAAACCTTTTTGACACTGTATATATATATATATATATATATATATATATATATATATATATATATATATATATATATATATATATATATATATATATATATATATATATATATATATATATATATATATATATATATATATATATATATATATATATATGTATGTATAAAATATACACTGTATCAAAAAGGTTTTCATCCACCTATATTGTACATTTTAAAAAATGTAATAAATTTTTATTCAGCAAAGATGTTAGCATGATATAAACTAAATTATATCATTTAAACATTTAAATAAAAAATTTTTTTAAAGTAATGAGTAACAAAATACAGCATTTCGGAACGTTTTCATCCTCTTACAAAAATCAAATAAAATTGTTATCCAAACTCAATTTGTTAGTGTTTTATCAACTTGTGTTTCCACCATGAACTTTTATTACTTTGTGTAGTCTGTTTTTCATAGAACCAGCGAACGTTTTGGTAATTTCTGGAGTGATTAAGCCCCACTCTTTCATAATTACTAATTGTAATTGTTATTTATTCCTTACATCGTATCTACTAATTCTTCTACCTAATTCATCCCACAGATGTTCGATAGGATTCAAATCTGGAGATTGTGGTGGTGTATGAAGTTGCTTAGCTATTTTAAATGTAAGCCATTCCTTGACATGTTTTGGATCTGTATGTTTTAGATTGTTATCTTGCTGAGAAATAAATGACCTAGTAAGTCTCAATTTGTGGGCACTTTCTTTTAGATTATTTTTTAAAATGTTTAAATTTTGATTCATATTTTTGTAAAACGACAACTATCTTTACTTTTTAAGAATCGTTTTCATACTATTTACAATTTTTATACATTTTTCAAAAGCTCCCTTTGGATAATTATATACAAACAAAAGTAAAAAGGAAATTACAACATATTTACACTAAGGATTTGTAAACGCTATTAAATTATAATAGCGTTTACAAATTAGCTATTAACATCTCCCCAAGAACTAAGTTCTTAAGGCAAATAGTCATTTAAATATGTCGGCCTTCTCCATTCTCTAGTCGAACGTCTGAGCAACAGTAATAAATTATCCATGACTTCAATACCCTCATTTTCTTCGTCAGCAACTGACTCTTCATCAACTGACTCTTTAACTTCCATGTCTCTTGCAATATGTAAATCCTTGAACTCACTTTCCTCACTTTCATTTTCTTCAACACTATTCATTCTTGAAACTTTCTCACCATATGATTCAGGAATCATTCTCACATCTCTTACATGTCGTGGTACACCATCAATTTCAATATTTGTTTTTGAGAGTATATTGGTCACATTACCAATCTTCCAAATCGACGTACACTTTGCATCAACAGAACGAATATAAACTTGTTCTCCAATTCTGTAGGTTACCGAGTCCTTTTTTGGTCTTGCGTGACTTTCTGTTTTGTGAATAGGTAGACCCTAAATGTACTTATTTTTTAGAGAAGCAGGTGTAGAGTCTTCTTGCGTTCCAATCATTGGTGTTGCATTATACCAAAATACCGCTTGTAACGGACATTTTTGTGCCCTCGCAGATGTGCGTTATACTGTGTGGCGGTTACGCTCCACGATTCCATTTCCTGATGGTCTATATGCACATCTATACATCTTTTGTACACTCCATTTTGCACACATGTTTGACAACTCATTTTATCTAAACACAGCTCCATTGTCCATCAATATTTTGTGTGGCGGGCCATGCTCTCTAAATATGGAATTCAATTGAATTAATATACTCTTTGCATCTTCGTATAGCATCTTTCTCCATACTGCAAATCAACTTGGTCCACAGTCAATCATTGTTAGGTAAGGTGACCCTTTATAGTGAGTTACGTCACATGCAATACGATACTATGTATCTGGTACATCTAGCACTCCATGTTCCCATTTTATTAGTGCTGGATCTATTGAACTTCATTGACAACATTTGCGCACACAGTCTTTAACGTCTTTTCTCGACACTTGCAGGATTCTTTGTTGTACTGTAAACATTGTTCGATTAACGCCAAAATGATGGTTTGAGTACATCCACTATCAACTAGTTGTTGAGTGAAAAAGCTGGCGCTGTAGGTTTCCCACTTGCGTTTCCCTGTTGCAAGGAGCAAAATCTTGCAATGTGTCCAGTTTTTCCACATCGAAAACATTGTATTCCCTCAGTAATAGTTTCTTTCTTTGCAAAACAGCTTCGAAAAACATGCCCAGGCTTGCTGCAAGTGTAACAGCTGAATCGTGAAGCAAATTTTCTATTATTGTTTTTATGATTTCCAGAAATTGTTGTTGAAAGACATTCTTCTTTTGTTACTTTTGACAAAAATACTCTTAAGTGGTTCAATACATCATTCAAGTTGATCCCGAATATTTTGACTTGCGATTGTAGCTGCTTTGAAATTTCACCAAGCAATCCAGTTATAAAAACTCGTTGCAACAATTCTATGTTTTCAACTTTGGCCAGCTGCATAAGTTGACGCAAACTGGCCATATATACATCAACGGATTAGCCTTCGTTCTATCTGCGATCCCTAAACAGCTCGTAGGCTTCAAAAAGATCAAGGCAAATGCATCTAATAAAACTTTTTCGATATCCACGGCGGAGGCTTTCTCGTTTTTGCTAAGTTGTTCATACAAAGCAAATGCATCTCCTTCCAGAAACAACGTAATTATTATTGACAGGTCGCCCATCTTTTGAAGCTCTCCGACCAGCTTGACTTTTTTCAGCCACACAACAACATTGCCAGACTCATCAAATTTTCCGATCATTTTTGCCATGGATGACATATTGCCGAAATAGCTTGCAAAACGACAACAATCTTTACTTTTTAAGAACTCTGATCTTTTTCATATACATTTTTTAAAAGTATATAGTTTGTATATAATCCCCTTGGGATAATTATATACAAACAAAAATTGTATAATTATCCCCTTGGGATAATTATATACAAACAAAAGTAAAAAAAAATTAACGACATATTTACACTAAGGATTTGTAAATGCTATTAAATTATAATAGCGTTTACAATGACCTGAAATGACCGTCTCCCAGAATGTTTGTGGTTCATTAATATTAAGTTTTGCAAAGTTTGCAAAGCATATATTCAAGCAGTTTCAGGGTCCACTTTTAATTTGTAATCATTTTGCAATATTCCAGCCTGTTTCGATGCACTTATTATAGGATTTTGGATGATTGTTTTCAATGTAGCTCGTCTATGCAATACTTGAATTTTATTTGGACGTCCTGTTCGTGGCTTATCAGCAATTTTTTTGGTTGTTTGGTATTTCTTGATAATTGACTGCACAGTTGCCTGTAATTTATTTACTATTTCTCCTATTTTTCTCTATGATTTTCCCTCCTTCCATAGTCTAACAATTAGCGATCTAATTTCCTTTGCAACTCTCATTTTTTGTTAATAATATAACAAAAATAAAAAATATGAAAAAGTCATATATAGAAAAAATAATACAAAATCTAATTTATATTTTTAAAATTTTACTTTAATACTGATTTTATAACAAATTGAGGTTGGAGTGCAGGGTGGATAAAAAATTTTTTAGCGCTAAAACAGACATTATTTTATTTGTCCATTTTAGCGCCAAAAAAAATTGTTTATTTTAAAATGCTGTATTTTATTTTTTATTTATTATTTTGTAAAATCTTTTTATACAATACTTCTTGAATGGTTAACCGATATAATTTAGTTGAGGTTATACTTATTTCTTTGCTGAATAAAAAGTTATCATGTCTAATAGGTGGAAACTTTATATTTATATATGTATATATATACATATATATATATATATATATATATATATATATATATATATATATATATATATATATATATATATATATATATTAATTTTAATCTTTTTAAATGATTGATGTTATTATATAAACATTAGTATTTTTTATAATATTTTTTTATTATTACTAATTAAAAAGATATAGATTGCAATAAACATATATCTCTCAGCTGCAGCTCCTCTTTGTCTGTTTAGATATCACTTATAGTTATTGTTTAGATATCACTTATGGTTATTATTATTTTGGTTATACAAAGAATGAGGTTGAAGATAACATTGGCTAAGAACCTCAGTCAATTTCATAATCATAATCTACAATTTTTACAAACACTATTTTTATAAAAAAATCCTTAAATTTTAATTTCAAATTACAACCAACATTAGTAGAACTGGGTTTGTATTTAATTAGTGACTTGTGAATGATAGATTGATAGCAGTAAATTACTGGGGTTTAAATATAACCAAGGTTGTTACATCTTGGAGCTGTGGATTTAACTCCGAAAAAAATCAGTTATTTACTGCAAACAACTATTACTATATTGTTGACTTTGCTATATTGATGAATAAAAATCCTCTAACTCTCCGACAAGGTTTGAAAGAATATTGTAAATATAGATGGACCTTTTTTATCTGCCAACTTGAGCCCCTCTACCATCGTCCTAAGGTTGCATCTCTTTTGTACAAATACATACTATCATACTATCATGTACTATCATAATTGCTGCTCAAATGAGCAATCATCCAGTGTTCAGTAAATCAAAACACATTCTCGTTTGGCATTTGTCATTCAGCAAAGTTGCTTGTTTTACTCCATCTGTCTCTTTATACTATAAAAATTTTTCAGTGACTACTTCAACCTCAACTTTTCTGTATAAAAAAAAATTTTGTGCCTAAACAATACGAATCTTTTTTTTTTATATAAATAATAATGATAATGTATAAATGTAGAACTGGCAGAACAGGTGGAGCTTAGGGGGCTGCATGCCCCTTACTTTATAAAATGTATGGGGCTTTGGTATTACACCTCCCCCATCCCATCAACCTTAAAGTCTGTTATTTCAAAATTTTTTATCTTGATAGTAGCAATTGAGGTAAAATTAACAAAAAGCCACTGCAAAATTAATATTATTTTTAGATAATAACAATTATATGTTAACAGATGTATTACCATTTAACAACTCTTTATCCTATAGGGTTAAGAAAATATTGAAGCAATTAAAATTAGTTTATAAAATTAGAAAAATATTTTTAGCACCTTTCCCCCTATTGTTTCCTTCCGCCAACCCTTAATTCATGTATTATTTTTATAAAATTTTTTAATAAAATTTTGATATTAAATTTAAAATGCCAAGAAAAATATATTTCTTATGAATTTAAATCCAAACAACAAGCTGCAAATATTTTTAATAGTTTAAAAATATACTATCATAGTTGTCTCATTAAAACATCTCATATCTCAAACATAAATTTAAAAAATAGTGAAAAAAAAAAGAGATTAAAAGAACATTTATGAAGAAATTATAGTAGTTTATATATATACAAGTTCTAATCTTAACCAACTGATATCCAATTCATAACCTTTATACTCTCATTGAGCTGTATGTTTCAAACATTCTTTTCATTTAAATTATTCCATGAGAAGGATTGCTTTCCAAGACACTAAATTTCTCGATAGTCTTATTAATGTACTTGTGAACAGCTTCTAAGGTTTGTTCTGATGTCAGACCAAAAGATAATAATCTTTCAAGTGATATTTGATGATATGGTACTTCCATCCGAGTGACATCCGAGTGATGTTAAACCTTTCTTCAACATAGTTGTTCATGTAGTCCATGGAATTGATAAAAGCTTTAATTTTATAACCATAAGACAAATCTAATGTCATTCCAAAACAACTCTCAGTCACTACAAATAAAATAATACAACTTATTAATATCTTCAAGTATTTTAATAATGTTTTATTTGATAAAATGTACCTGCTTTATATTTTCTTAGTGTGTTAATACACTTTTGGTATTTCATCGGCGCTACACTTATCATCTTATCTAATGACCTTAGTGCGTTCAACTATTAGGTCCATATAGTTCTCCACCATTGTAGCCATTCTGAGTAACAGTTTTTTCTTCTAAGAACTTAGTTAAAGTTATTTGAAAACAGCACTCTTGACACCTGTGTGATAATATGCTCATGACATGCAGCTCTGGTGGAGGTATAACATCCAATACCAAGCTGTCCAGGTTCTCATCAAAAAAACATGGATTGATGACATTTAAAAAGTTCTGCATCAACTTGTGTGGTTTTCCTGTGTCAACAAATTGCTGATACTGATGAATAAACTACCGAAGGTTCTAAATTCTCCTAATTTGTCCATTGTACCAATACAATAAATAAGCGCATTCATATTTCCTACCATGGCTATATAATTTTAGCATGATATTGATAAGCTCAATTTAATGTGCTCGATGAGTCGTCTACACTTCATCTTCTAGGATTAACTCTTACTTCTGATCTTTCTTGGAAACTTTATATCAAATCCATTGCAAAATTAGCATCTGCTATTTTGATAAAGAAATGCAAAATTTGCATTTCTTTATCAAAAAAATTAATAAACGGAAAGAGGGTCTAAATAAGTTTGGGGTGGGTGAAAAAGTTTTCTGAAAATTAGTAAACATCCCCCCTCCTTTTTTTATTTATTAGGGACTCAAGAGTAGTTAAAACTGAATGAATAAAGGTATGAAAGTATAACTGGTTGCAACCATGTTTTGATTTCATCAAAATAAAAAGTTATTTCAAAATAAAAGTTAGTTATTGTTTTAAATTCATCAGAACAACAAAGCAAAATTTTATATTGTTTAGTCATGGTGGTTTAACAATGAGCAAGCAATTACCAACCCCACATACTTTTATTTGTCAGTAAATTAGCTTTTAGTTGTTTTTTAGTTAATTTGTATTCACTGAACTGATTTCTAAAATAATTAATTTTTGATATTTTTTATTAATCTGAAAGCTTTTTAGATATATTTAATACGTTTTAGTATGTTGAATCATTAAAAAAGCCTTTGAGATTTGTTGGAGTAGTTATGGCAGCATATTCTGATGGCTACAGTAGACACGACCATTCTTTGTCTCGGGCTCTATCATCTGTTATACACAGTGGAAAATATTATATAAATCCTGAACTTCGGGCAAAACGTATCACTGAGTTGACACAAAAATCAAATGTTTCATTTTGTAAAGCATTTTGGTCACTTACTGAAAACTATGGTGTTCAAGTAAGTAAAAATGTTCTTTTAAATAATAGCTTTACATTAAGGGTTGACATTACAGGCCTTCAAAATAATAGCCTAACATTAACTGACACTGTTGAGGGAAGAGGTTTGTATAATGTTGTCGCAGAAAAAGGATTTGCTAATATGTGTTTTTTGAAATTTATAAACATTACTTTCATTTTATTAAACAATTTAGTTTTTAATAATAATAATGTTTATTAAATATTATGTTTTATAATTTTTCAGAAACGTCATGTTTTTTTTTACAATTCTTTACAGCCAGAGTGAAAATAAAAAAAATTAATATTTTTAGTTTAATAATCATTAAAAATTATACTATTTCTTTACTTTTACAGTAAAACCAAGAAATCAGAGTTACACAACAGTTTACTTTTTGTTTTAATATGTACCATAACTAATTTTTTTTTTCACTGTTACTTAGCAAAAATTATATTTTTTATTTTAGCATGCACCGTTACTACTTTGCCCAGCAATGGCTGTCAATACAGAGCTTTCAATTCCTAATGATCCTATTAATATTAAAACGCTTGATAATAAGACAATTGAAATTGTTCTTCCCTCTTTAAATGGAAAGGTTGTTAATGTGCGGGCACGTTTGTTGTCTTATGTATGGAGAGAAGGACAGGTATTTTAAATTAGGAAAATAATTGCATGAACTTAGTGATTAGTTTTCATTAATTACTAAAACATTTATTCTTTAGTAAGAAGTTAATGTCTTAAGTTGAAAAAAAACTTTTAGTTTTTTTATTGATTTATCATTATTATATAAATGGTTTTTTTTTCTTTGATAATCTGCTACACATTCTATCATATTTTTTTAATTCTTCGTGTCTAGTTTGTAAGTTTTTTCTGTGTTTCTTTCTTATTTCATTTCTTTTTTCTTCCTTATTTACCTTATGATTTAATTGTTGTGCTTCTATTTCTTGTAATAAAAGTTAAAGCTTTTTATTCTTGCTCTCAGCTCTCGTATTTTTTAAGATGATAGGTGAGAGGTGAGAGGTGAGAGGTGATAGGTGAGAGGTGAGAGGTGATAGGTGAGAGGTGAGTATAAAAGTAAAAACTTTTTAACCATCTATAATAAAGCAAATAGTTAGACAGCATTTTTCTTTTGGTTGTTGTAAGATTATTTTCAGAAGAAAGTTTTAAAAGTTTTAAAATTGCTTGCTTTTCATTTTCAACATCTTTTATCATCAGGTTCATGAAGTAAATAATAGTAAATCAATGCTTGGTGCTAAGCCTGCGCCACCTTCACGTTATCTGATGTTTCATGCACATGGTGGTGGCTTTGTTGCTCAATCTTCAAAATCTCATGAGGTAAACATTTTTATTTGTAATGAGTTTTCACATTTAAAATATGATAATATAAGCATTCGAAAAAACTTTACAATCGACAACAAGAACCCTTCAAGTGCTTGTTTAATAGTTGTCTATATATTATAGACAAATATTAAAAGAGTCTAATATGAACTCATTGTTATTATATTAGGTTTTTTTATTAAGCATAAATTAATGAAGTGATTTTTTTGCGTATAAATTTTTTTTTTTATGTTGTTTACAAAAATAAAAAGTTAGTAAAATTCAGCTGTTTACCAAAAAGTTGTATTTTTAAATATTACTTAATACAAAGTTTTCTGTTTTCTGATTTCAAGATTTACCTTTTTTATCACTCTTACAAATTGAAATTAAAGTCTTAAATTTAAATTAATGTTTCAGTTTTTATTTTTGCATTAATCATTGGGAAACTTGAAATTTAATGTTTTATGTGGAAAATAGACAAGTTTAAAATTTTTTATCCATCTAATAATCAATTAGTTTCAGGTTTTTCAAAGTTAATTTCAAAGGAATAAAAAAGTTAAGGTCTTGCAACCAAATTTATTTTTGCTAATTTTTTTTTTTTTTTTTACGTTTTCTTTTTTTTTTTAACTCAAATTTACATTTTATTATTCACAAGCTTAAAAAATGAGATTTTTATATTGCAACTATTACTAAACAATAACCTAACAAAACAAATGTTTAATTAATAAATAAATAGTAACCAAACAATAACAAAACAAATGTTTTTTAAAGTGGATTACTTTCTTAGTAGTATGAATAAAAGAAACAATCCTGTTGTCATTTGCCAGTAACATAAAAAAACAAACAATCCTGTTGTCATTTGCCAGTAACATGAAAGAAACAAACAGTTCTATTGTCATTTGCCAGTAACTATGGTTACATGGGACTAATAACTTTGCTTTAATTTTTTACGATGGTTTGCTGTTAAAAGTGAAATGGTTAAAGTGGCCTACTTTAATCTTTAGTTGTGGCTCAAGAACTTTTTATACTTATCCTTGATGCTTCTTCTGCTCAGTTAATTGATCCAATTTTATCTTTACAATAATATAACACTTAATTTGTAGGTATTATTTAAATGTTTCTATTACATTAATTTCTTATATGAGTTCTTTACTGTATTTACTTTAAGTGCATCTAAGTTCAAAATCAACAATAGTATAATGCATATTAAAAGTATTTATTTTATCAATCTTCTAGAAACTTCTAGAAGCAATTAAAAAAATTTATTATAGCATTAAATAAAATAATATTTAATGCTATAATAAATTCTTTCATTACTCACTTTGTGAAAACTGTAAGCTTTACACACCCTAAATGCATACACCCTACATGCATAACTTCAAACATCCTACATATACAAATAGAATAAACTACAATAACCTTTGTTCTCGCATAGTTCACGGTGTTTCACATTGTTTAGGGTGAAGAATAAAAGTTTCATAGAGATTTTCGAAAATGTTACCTTGCTAGTGTAACAGGTTTTAAAAATATTTTTTACTAATAAAATGATTAAGAAAAACGCATGGTAAAGCCATGGTCAAACGCATGGTAAAGCCATGGTCAAAAACAAATGATTTTTTTTATATGAAGTATTTAAGTCTCAATTAAATAAAGGACTGAAAATCAATTGAAAAAAAAGAATTAATTTACTATAAACTAAATTTGAACTTATTTACAGATGTATTCAGCTTTCAAAAAGTACTTTAGTGCATTTTTGGCCACTATTTTAAGTCTACCTGCCACTATTTTAAGTCTACCATGCAGTAATGGTGTAGTGGTAGAGGGCTTGGTTCATAAGTGAGGTTCCAAGTTCAGTCCCTACCACTTTTGAATTTATTCAAGAGTACAGCAAGTTGATAGAGTCATGTTTTGTAAACTCTCTTATTTTTGAATTTGTTTCCTTTTTATTTATAAGTTTTATTTTGCTGATTTTTGCTTCGGCCATTGACCACAAAAATATTATTTGTCCATGGACAACAGTTCCTGTTGGCTTTGGGTAAAGACAGAACTGAAAGTATTGAGAAATATAATAATGTAAAATCAGACTTTCGGTTAGGTTAGAGCTATCAAAACATTAAGTTCAAATTTTTATGTTTTATTAAATAATATTTTTGTTTGAGTTAACTTTGTAATTAAATTAAAACCTTTTTAATGTATCTTTTTGAAATTATTCAAAAATACTGAAAATAAAAAATAATTGAAAATAATTTGCCAATTTAATCTTCCTTAATTTTTAATTATTACCTAATTTTGAATGTTTTAAAAATATTGTTTAATTTATAGTTTATATTCTGATATAGTTTTTTATTCTGAGTGTAATATTATTATTTTATTTTTAATTATTTATTGTTTTATTAATTTTTTTAAAATTTTGTTTTTATTCTGAGTGTGATGTAATATTTTTATTTCATTAAGTTCGAAAACAATAAAGCTAATATGTAAAGTTAATTGTCTGAAATTAGGCTGCAGCATTGGGGTTTACCGAATTTTTCACAATGGAATTGGCACATCTCAAATAAAATAAAATAAACTGTACTCTTTTCATATTTTAAAAACTTTTTTTTTTTAAGCTGCATTTAAAAAAAAATTTTCTATTAGGTTGAGCTTCATTGTCAGGTCAGGTATCCTGGCACTGGTAACATGTAGCCCAGTACAACTTGCTTCATGTCCTGCTGCCTTCTATGATGCACTTTTTTAGGCAAAAGCTAGGAGATGTTAACTTTGACTAAACACCCCCCCCCCCCTGCTATAGATCTCTTGGTTGAGTAAAGGCTAGAGATGGTGTGTCTCAATAAAAATATCCATCTTGACAGACCTTAAATGCATCTGGCTACTGTCTTTTAAATGGCTTTCCAGGCAAAGACTTAAAGGGTAAACAGATTCTATCTGTTGACCAGCCTCACACTCCTTCTTCATCTATTAGGCTGGAATTAATGTATTTATAATACATTGTTTCCAGTTTAAAATATTGAATGCTGGATCTTCTTGACTCATGCATGGTTTTGCTTGTGTCTCTGTTTTTATGATTAGACAACTCATTCTGTTATCTCATAATGAGGGTACAGCTCTCAAACTCAGATCAGGTTTCCCGAACTCTGTTTATGGTTTTGAGGCTGGCTCCCCGTAGTCAGGTTTCCCGAACTCTCTGTTAGTTCTGAGAGAGAAAACAGAGAGATTCCATCAACACCTGTAAAAGATCAGAGTACTAACAGTGTTGCTCATACTTTTGGTGCATTTTTAAGGCCACATTTGTAGCCCTTTTTTATGGTTTAGGATTTTTCAATAGTAATGAGGCAGTTGCTTAGACTATTAAATATTGTAATGAGTACTATCTCATCTTTAGCCATTCAGTGTGATGACTTTAATTCTTATCACACTGAATGGCTTGACTTTAGTGTCAGTCACTCAGGACTTGAGTGAAGACAAATTATAAAGACAAGTTGTTAAGACAACTTCTATCTTTTTCAATCTCTAACTCCAATATTTAAATTTCCAACTTGCTTTGCAGACAATCCAAATCATTTACCTTCTCTACTCGACTTATGTCTTGCTTTTTTCTATAATTTTTTTTTTTAATATGACCTGGATGATCTACGATAACTTCAGTATCTATCACTAAATTAATTCTCCAGAATATAGTTGTCTGTTTACTACTGCTAGAAGCCATTGTTGAAAGGTTTTGTCTAACGTCAAAGATCGTTATTTTCAAGTTAACAACTCCCAAGACTTCTGTTGAATTTTTAACAGTGTCTATAAAAAGGGAAAATCTGTTATTCTACATCGCTTGCATGATTCAGATTTTGTTTCCTCTCCTAAAGATAAAGCTGAATTGTTTGCTAAGAACTTTTTATCAATCTCATTACTTGATTTTTCTAATCACATCCTGCCTGATAAAGTCAACAAACAGGTTGATCAATTGCTTGACATTTGTATCACTTCAGCCTTCTTCATCTTAAGTAATTTTTTGTCTAGACTTCTTTAAACCTTGGGGTCCATACAACATACCTGTTATAGAGCTCCTAAGTTTTACAAAAGTAAATATAATAATAATTATTATTTAATGTTAATGTCCCTAATTTAAGTTCAAAGCCAAATGAAATCAAATCAATTTTATGCATATTTTAAAATTTATATGTTTTTACTACAAACTTGTTTTAAACTAAAAAATTGATGTAAGTAAATTGTTTTTTTTATAAAGTTGTCATTCATCATAAATAAATTAAAAAAAAAAAAATGAATTTACTGTTTTAACTATATTTAGTAGTAGAAGTAGTAGTTAAACTGTTATTGGATCTAGCAAGTGTGACTCTCACTTTGACAGCATTCAATCTAGCTAGTGTGATTCTACTCTCACTTTGACAGCATTTGCCTTTTGAATATTTTAAAAAACCTATTAAATTTAAAAACCTTCTTTTCATTTTTAACATTTAGTTCATTCTTTAAAAGTTTGAATATTATTCAATGAAATGAAATTAGAGAAAATAGTTTTAAAAAGGTTCATAAAAGTATGTTTGTGTTGTGTTTCGGAAAAGGAAGAGAAAGGGGAGAGAGAATGCTATAACAACAATTGAAAAAAATAGTGAAAAAAAACTTCTTTTTGACTTTAGTAGGTGATTATATTTAAATGAAAAATAAAAATGTTTACTAAATGCGTATTTTAGATTTTTTTATAACTTTGAACATATTTCATATTGATGTAATTTTTAATAAAAAAATCACTTGTCTCTATTCTCTGTTGATGTTTTTATTCATTTATTATTATTTTATTAAACTTCTTTTTTTTTTTTTTAATTCATAAAAGACATTACTTGTTAATGACTTTTGTGATATAAAAAAATTACAATTTTTAACTTTTAGATTTACCTTCGTTATTGGGCAAAGACTCTTAATATTCCTATACTTTCTATAGACTATTCATTATCTCCAGGAGCACCTTTTCCACAGGCATTGAATGAAATCTACTTTGCTTATGCTTGGGCTCTCGAGAATCTAAGCAAGCTTGGAAGCACTGGGGAGAAAATAGTATTTGCTGGTGATTCTGCGGGTTAAAGTTTGAAATTATTTTATTTGTAGCATAAAAAAATATGTAATCTTTTTTTAAGCAATTTAAATGTTTAATCTACACCCTATGTTTGTGGTACTAACAGGTTTTCTTAGTCCACACTCTCGGTCCATGCAAAAAATAGTTTTATTGCCATTAAAAAGGTTTTTTGTATATAAATAATTAGTAATTAACTTTTAAATTTTTTATTTAAATTGTTTTTGAAATCTCTAATTTATTATTTATTTTGTTCATGCTTTAATTAATTGTTTAACAAGTATATTTTTTGTCTATAAGTTTTTAACACAAAAATAGATTTAAAGTAGAAATAAATAATTTTGTGTTTATAATTGTATTATAATTATAATAATTATAATAATTTATTAAATCATAAAAAAGTTTAGTACCTTAAATGTAATTTGTCTCACTAATTTTTTTATTCAGACTCAAAATTTTGTTGTCTGGTTATACTTTATCATTTTTTAAATACATAATCTCATGCTATGACTGTATACTAGGGTAATAACTATTTTCATTTTTTTTGTAATGAAACTGAAACCTATCACATTTGAGGAACAATTATATGCAGATGACAGTAGCAACTTTAATTTTTTTTAAAATTGAAAAAAATTCCCCCACCTTTCAATTTTTATTTTTTCTTATATTGCTATATGAGGTATTTTCACGAATAAACAATACCATGATAATGATCAACGATCACATGATGGATAAGAGATGCTTTTTGATTACTTTGAGCCTATTTGTTTACATAACTATAACCTCTAAATCACTGATCTGTATATATTATATCTATGCTCTCAAAAAAAGCAAAAAACACAGCCATTATTCCATTATTAATCGATCAATTATATTTATCCATGACGTGACGTTTTTAAAAAGTTTTCCGGCTCATTAAATTACCTCATTTGTTTAACAATTTAAATTTCACACTGACTTTTTATGTAATGTTCTAGGCTGCTTTTAAGCACATTTCTGTCAACTGTCTGTTTCTATTTGTTTATAAGAAAAAAACATTTACAGATGGTAGTTAACTTTTTTATTTTTATTGATCCTAGTTTAAACAGTGGAAACTTGCTCCAACATGGGGCAAGTTTAGTAAAAATAATTATTTTGTTATTGATATATTTTATTTTCTGTTTCAGGTGCAAACATAAAATATATATATATATATTCTGGAGTATTTTATAACATTTTGGAATATTGTAGATTAATTACTTTGTTTTCAGTGCAAGATTGTAAGTCATCCAGAAAAGACATTTTGTCACTTCAATAAAATGTCTTATAGATATTCCAGAAATAGTATAGAATCAAACAGGTGTATCTGGATAAAAAATCTACCCTATTCTTCAAAAAATAAAAGAATTCCAAAGATTCCATTTGTTGAAAAACTAACCAATCTTACGCGGATTCCGACAAACCATCAAATTCTTGGAAACTTCACTTTTTTGTTCGATAGCAAGAAACGCAAACTGGATCAAATCAAGATTATGATTACAGATATAAAAAAGCTTTGGGAGGAAATTCTAGACTTTCCACTGTTATCCAGCGCACTCATAAGAAAGAAGCTCAACAGTCTGATTGATTTAACAAAAACAAAAAGAAACCATCTGATAAATTTATTGCAACACTTTCTCAGTTATTTGATGTCACCAACGTTAATGGAGAATGTAAAAAAATAGAAAGAAGATAAAAAGCTCTACCAGAGGCAAGTTGAGAGTGGAGGAAAGATTGGTTATTCAATGGTCAAACAAGCTCCTCTGGAATCAACCCACCTAAGAAAATGAATCGGACTATCAAAAACTCAATCCCAAGCTAGCTCTTCTCAATTGCATCCCACACAAAAATCATAAAACTGTCTCAGATTCTTCAGATTCTGAAACTTTTGTTTTCTCACCCGATTCTTCTACGTCATCTCCTGAATGCAAACCGAAATACCAAAGAGCCAGCACTACAGCAGCTGGTTTACTAGAATTGAAAAACAACATTTCTACACAAAAAGCACATGACTTTCTCCCAACCATTGCTAAACAAGGCCACGATGTGCCGGTTCCAAGTCAGGCGGGTGTCTGGAAAAGAGTAATCTCTGAAGGACAGAAAATGAAAACCAAAATTGCTCAAAAACTTAAGGGCAAAGATCCATATTGTCTCCAGTTTGATGGTAAAAGAGTGCATGGGAAAGAAGTAGATCTGCTGAAAAATATGACTACCAAGTAGTTCTGCTGAAAATTATGACTACCGAAATCAAACTTGGTATTCTTAAATGTGAGAGTGGTTCTGCTGCGGCCATTCACAAGGCCGCAGTTCTATATTCTACATCAGCTAATTGATGAATACAATGCTTGGGAAAATATTTGCATGATAATCTGTGCAGTAAATACTGGTTGTCTGCATGGGATTGTAAAGCTAATACAAGATGATGTTTTGAGCAAGAGCTTTCAGAAACCACAATATATTGGCTGTCAGCACCATGTTCTTGACCTCCTTCTGAAACATGGCATGAATTTTATTATTCAAGAGCCAACGAGCAAACCAGAACTCAATTATTCCTTCATTGATAAATTAACAGAGAATTATGTTTCTCTTCAGGATGATTACCGCCTATATGCGACAGATGATGTTAATACAGGCAAAAACCCTGCATGGCGAGATGATTTCAAGTTCTTATATGAACTATGTCAAGCGTATTGTCATTACAAAACAACTTCACGCTTACCTCGAATAAACTGGAAAAAACTCCCAAATGTACACCAAGCAAGATGGAACTCATGTGCAATATATGCTGTTATAGCATTATTCCTGATGCCAGAGTGGCGCACCACCCTCGTTCCAGCATGTGACTTCATCTGCTACGAATGGGCAAATGCTTGGTTCCATGGGCAACACTACAATGAAGCATCCTTTAATGAACTATTAACCTCACTCATCAAGATAAAATGCAAGAAAGCAATTAAGTGTTTAAAGACACATTGGTCAATCGAGGAGTCATTCATTAATATTCCCAGATCTAACCAAATTGCTAAACGTGCGGTAAAACTGATGGAGGAACTTCATGAAGAATCAAGAAAATTTGAGTTTTTGAATTTGAAGTTTCTTGGAAAAAATAACTTTTAAACATTGCATGTATATTTTGTACATATTACTAATATTCTCCATCTTATTTGTTCATAATGCATAATGTTCATGTTGCTTAGATAAGCTATTACTTTTAGTATTTTGGATAAAACTAAAAAAACATGTCCTTTTTTGAAAAAAAAAATATTTTTTCATTTTTCTTTTCCTGTGTGAGTGGGGGAACTTTTTCAAACATCAAAAATGCAATTTATATTCTTGAATTACACATAAAGTTTCCTCGATTGCAAGTGGTTTCATAAAAAATTTTTTTTTGTTATAACCCTAGTTTATACTTTACATACATAGTTTCATTCTATGACCAGTTATAGTGTTGATCAGTTTTTCTTTTTGCAGTTTGTAGGCATATAGTTAAAATGTTGTGTTTAAATTTTGCTTTGTTTGATTTTTATTCAGTTGCTTGTTGGATTGCATTGAAAATTATTGTGTTTTTTAATCACTAAAGTGTTTTTTATCTGAAATCTTTAAAAAACAAACAAAAGAAAAAAACAAAATTAGTAAAAAGAGTCTGGATTTTAAAGATTTAAATACATTTATTACTTTTGTAGTAATTATTTTTTTATTGAAATTACCCTATCACTTATAGTGATAAAGTAATTTCAATAAAAAAAATAGTTTCTGGATTGTAAACATATTGAGAATGAAATAAAAATTTTCTTTGTTGTTGCTGTTATTTTGGCGTTATTATTATAACATTATATTATTATTTAGCGTTATATTTTAGAATGCTAACTATAATGACTAGTATCTCATAATAATGTGAGTACAAAATTACTATCTATATGGAGCTACACCGCAGGAAATCATGTACTATATCATTATAGTTTATAGAATACGCTTAAACTTAATACAGAATAAGTTCTATATTGAACAGATTACTAATGTTTTTCTTTGCATCAATAGCAGCTGTGGTGTATTGGTAGCACACTTGCCTCATAAACAAAAGATCCGTGGTTCAAACCCTACTTCTGGGCAAGTTTTGCAACATCAGTAAGGAAGTAGGCATGAACTTCCAATTAAATGCTCATCCACGGTGCTCTGCGATAAGACCATAAGTGCTTTTTGGGGCACCTAAAAAAATTAAAAAAAAAATGCTCATAAATTACATATTTACTTTGAACTATTTAAATGTCAGTCATGCATTAAACATGTCTGAAATCTGCTGGAGATATAACTGGAGATATAAGCCGCAAATTTTTTATAATAATTTTATTAATCTTATTTATTATATTTATTAAACTTATGTTACTTATCTTATTAAACTTTAGATAAATATGAAAATAAGATATAAGAAATATTCTTATCTCTTATCTTCATATTATATATATAACAACAGTATTTTTAAGAAAAATTTCTTAAAAATACTGTTGTTAATTCTGTAAATTAATTTTTAATTGATACCATCAGTATCCTGAAAAAAGTTCTTTTAGGACATTGGTGGTAATTTGTAGATCTTTTAGGATACTGATGATATTTTGTAGCAAATTTTGCTAATACAAAATGCCATTATATTAAATTTTGGGATATTATATTCAATTTTAAATTTTATTAAGTTTTTAAGACATTACCTGATTCTATTTTTTAGTTGCTAAACATAATCTGCAGTTTAATTTTTGTTTAAGAGTTGCTGAAAATCTTTTCTCAGATGAACCTTTGTGATATTTAGTGGGTGCGTATCTTTTTGTACCAGTTGTATGCTTTGTGTTTATAGCCTTACTAATTGAGCAAACTAAATTAGATAAATTGCTTTAGTTATAAATTCATAAACTAAATTAAGCCAAATACATACTAACCAAGTTGAGGTGTACCTTAGTAAATATTATTAACTGTTTTATTATACAGAGTTGATTGAACATGTTTTCCATTTTAGCCATTTGACTTGGAGGTTTTCAGTTTAAAGTTTTTTTGTTTTGTTTTTGAGTTTAGTGACTGGTCATATTGGTCATGTGATTAGATATGTGATAGTGGTTGGATATGTGATATGTGATTGGATATGTGATAGTGATTGAATATGTGATATGTGGTGATTGGATATGTATACAAAGAGTTAATCTGTAAGATGTGTGTGTGGTTTTTTTACAAGTTTACTATTGTTGATTTTCTCAAAATAAACCTTTTGAAATTAACACTTCGTTTTCTTTGTTAATCAGTTTTCCCATAAGAAAAAAAATACTCAAAGATATAAAGAGGCTTCACTTATTTAAAAAGAAAAACAAAACAAAAAAAAAATAATTTAATTTTTAACTATATTAGTTTTTGTTAATTTTTTTTTAAGTTTAGTTTTACTTTTTTTTTTTTGTAGATTAGTTTTCACTAATTTAAAAACAGTAGAATTAAAACAGTTAAGTTAATGAGTTACCTTTGTTTCTGAAAACATTAAAAAACTTCCAACTTATTTTATATATATTTTTATAGAGTTCTTAAAATAGATTTTGATAAATTCTTCTATTACTGTTAATACATTTTTTCATTTATGTTATGAAAAATATTAAAACAATTTGTAGATATTTGTAGGATTATCAAATATTTATGTTGTTTTTACAAAACTATATTGTTATTTAAAAATTTAAAACATATCTTTTTATTTAGGTGCAAATTTGGTTACAGCTGTTGCTCTCAAAGTAATAGAAGGAAACTTTCGTTTACCAGATTCTATTGTATTAGCTTACCCTCCAATGAGGCTTCAGTACTTACCATCACCATCACGTATTTTAAGTTTAATGGACCCTCTATTACCAATTGGTGTTTTAAAGACTTGTATTAGTGCTTATACTGGAGATGTTATTAAAGATTCTTATGAACTAGTAAACTCTAGTTTCTATGGAGAAACCTTTAATCCTTATGATTTAGATATTGGTGATTCTCTTGATGAGTGTGATATGAGTTATAGACGAGCTTTCTCCGAAAATGACATGGCCAAATTAAAACATTCAAATAAAAATGATTTCGATGATAATGAGCGTTTCTATAGTGATTTCTCTTATTCAGACAGTTCTTCAACATCAAATGATTTTAGTTTGGTAAATGACTTTTCATTATCAGACAGTTCAATTGACGAAAACAAGGCGCCATCTTTGCTACGTTCCTTTACATCGAGTTTTTCAAGCAGAGTTAAACTTATGACACTCAACATGACTACATATCTCTATGGAGCGGACAGTGTAGAATCTAATGCTAATAAATCTGATTGTTCAACAAATTCTCTCAATATATCGAAAGGTAAAAGAAAAAGTTATGAATTTCAAGCATCATTCAAAAATGAATTATTCAATGTGCAAAAAAATTTACAAGACTCTTCTATAAAAGAGCTACCACTTGAATCTATGAAATTCGCAAAGAGTTTTAGTATTTGTAAAGAATGCCTTCATCGCTCTGAAAATTGCATTTGTCTGTGTCTCATTCCAAAAGTTCGTCTTAAAAAAACTGATAAATATCGTTCATCTTGCCATTACAGAAATCGCTCATTGAGCTGTTGTAATGAAAAAATTATAAATCCTAAAATAAATAATCTATCGCATAGTGCATCTTCATTGTTGGAAGAAAAGATTTTTGACAATGATGACAATGCAGAACTATTGTCTCAAAGTGAAAATTCTTGTGGACTTGAAATGCGTCCATGCGACACTTCCAGTAATAATATACAATCAAACTTGGGTTATTTAAAAAATTCTCCAGTACCAAATGTACACTCATCTTTCATGAGTGCTACCAGTGCCTCATTTGAGTTAGGAAAAAATCCATACTTATCTCCATATTTAGCAAGTGATAGCTTACTTAAAAAGTTGCCCCCAGTTACTATTGTGGTATGCTTTACTTTTTATTGCTATTATATGTGTATAGGTATGTTTTTTGTGCACATGTGTATTTTATTATATTGTGTATTTTATTATTTGTGTACATGTGTATTTTATTATATGTGTATAGGTGTGCATATGTGTATTATATGTTTTTGTGTGCATTTGTGTACAGTGGGTGGCCATCACATTTGGACCAGTGGAAAATTTGTATAAATATTATGTAAAATGAACTTTAAAGCAAAAAAATAAATTTAGGTTCCAGTAAAGGTAATAAAAACAAAAATCTTTAAACATTTTAAGTATTTTGTAAAACCATCTTTATTGGCATTAATTGCATCAATACATTGTGGCATGTTTCGGATTCTTTTAATAGTTTTATAGTTTCTGTCAACAATGGTTTTACAGTTTTATAGTCAACTCTGGGTTATTGTGCTAGATCATGATAATCTTTTCCATATGATCTTGCTTGTTAATTTCTTTTCCAATCTCTTGTTTGATCTTGCTTGTTAGTTATAATTTCTTTTCCAATATTTTATTTGATCTTGCTTGTTAGTTAATTTTTTTTCCAATTTGTTGTTTTTCTAGCTCTTAAATGTTTTTAATGGGGTTAAGATTGCCAGATGAGTTGCCTGATTAAGGCAATGCATTAATTTTTTTCTGTTTTAAATAAGCCATAAAAATTTTTTGTATAATGTTGTGATTTTTTGCAATGTAACAAGTAGCACCATTTTGCATATATTTAAGATTTTTGGCATTTTATAAGTATTACGGCAGTTGCTAACCATGGCTAAAATTGTTATTTTTAGTTTTATTACATAAAAAATTGCGTTTTTTAAGAAAAAATGAAAAAAATGCATTTCTAATGTTTTTTTATGATAATTTTGATAAATAAGTTAAAAATATTTCGAAATGAATATTATTTCGAAAAAGCAGTAGCCTTAACCTCTCCACCTTTATCTAATGCATGATAAAACCTATCGGTTATTATTGTTAGCAATTCAGCTGTAGAACTAGAAGATCAAAATCCATATTGATGATCAGAAATAAAAAATATTTATATATATATATATATATATATATATATATATATATATATATATATATATATATATATATATATATAAATATATATATATATATATATTTTTGTTTTCAAAAAAATATATGTTTTTAAAAAGCTTCAAGAGTACAGATTTCACAGAAATCTGTAAGCCATCTCAGTCAGGCTATTAAAAATGGGCAAGATTACAAATCTGCACAAGGAAACTGTGTACGCAAGTCCAAAGTGTGCCCATGTACCCAACGTAAAGTTATCCATTTGGCTAAAGTGAATAGAAGAGCCACTAGTGAAGGCTTAAAAAAGTCCTTGGATAAGTATAGTGTTGATATTTGCAGTTCTACGTTTAAGAGAAGGCTTATTAATGCAGGTGTTCCAGCAGGTCGGCCAAGAAAGAAAGCCATAATAACAATGGCAATGGCTAAAAAAAGGGTTAACTGGACCCATGAGGTTAAATCTTGCTTTGGAAGTGATTGGAGTGAGTAATTTAAACATTTCAATAGTTTTTCTTACACATTCTTATTTAAACAAAAATTTCAACCTTAACACCAACCAACTCATACTCCTTTTTCTTTCACACTTAACCGTCAATTTTCAAGATCTTTTTATTACTCATCTGCCAATTCAGATCAATACTCAGCTGTGTTATTGCAGTCTGTAATATTATATGATTACAGGTCTGCTTCAAGACCAGTATAAAAAATTTTTGGAAACAAGACTGCTGCCCCAATTGAGAGACTGGTTTTCTGATGGAGATTGTGTTTTCATGCATGATGGTGCACCATGCCATAAAGCCAAATCAGTAAAAAAGTTTTTGACAGAAAACCATGTTCAAACATTGTCATGGCCAAAGAACAGCCCAGATAGGAACCCCATAGAGAATTTATAGGCGGTTGTTAAGAAGATACAAAAGAAATCCAGCATTACCACAAAAGTTCAATTGATTGAGAAACTTATCAAAGTATGGCACCATAATGAGGAAATAAAAAATAAATGTCCAGTTCTTGTAGAAAGCATGCCAAAGCTTATAGAAATGTTACTTAAGGCTGAAGGTATGCATACAAAGTATTAATGTAACTTTAAATTGTTCAATAAATAAATAAAAACCTAGTCAAGTCTAATAATTTTCACACCTTTGTATTATATATATATATATATATATATATATATATATATATATATATATATATATATATATATATATATATATATATATATATATATATATATATATATATATATATATATATATATATATATATATATATATATATATTAGGGTGTCCCAAAAAACAGCATTTTTGAAAATAATCTGCTCTCACCCCCTAAATGTGTTCTATCTAATGCAAAAACACTAGGTTTAAATTTTTTTTGAATAAAAAATATTTTAAGGGGTCCCTCAAGACCCTCGAATATTTAATGGGTCCCTAATATTTTCGAAAAAA